GACATAACTGTTTTATAGACAATAGTTGATCTCTTAATCTGCTTCTTATCTCCACTTTTATCTCCTAATTTATCTATAATTAGCATTGTCTTATTGGGTTTAACCTATACAAGGTTTTGGGTTTTATTTGCATGTCTTTTATAGCTCGTCCCCACTTTTAGATACATATATATATAATATAACTGACCTTGACATCATTTAGATGTGTTTTGGTCATTGCGAAATTTTAGACATATTATTATTATTATTATACAGTATTTATAAAGCGCCAATAGTTCGCTCAGCGCTGTACATTACAAAAGGGGGACAGAACATGCGACAGAACAATACCAATACAATGCAAAACATGAGGGGATTGAGGGCCCTGCTCTTTGGAGCTTACAATCTAGGAGGGAGGGGATGGTGGCACAGGAGGAGATAGCTGTGGGGGATGGAGTGGTAGGAAGAGAGTGGAGGAGGTCGGCAAGTTAGCAGGGGGTGGTGTAGGCTTCCCTGAAGAGATGGGTTTTCAGGGTGCGCCTAAAGGAGAGGAGAGTAGGTGATAATCTGATGGGTTGGGGCAGGGAGTTCCAGAGGATGGGTGTGACACCCTGGAGAAGTCCTGGAGGCGGGCATGGGAGGAGGAGACCAGGGAACTAGAGAGAAGGAGGTCTTGTGAGGAGCGGAGTGTGCGTGTTGGGGCGGTACTTGGATATTAGGTCAGTGATGTAGTTCGGGGCAGTATGGTGGACAGCTTTGTACGACAGTGTTAGGATTTTGAATTTGATCCGTTGCGCAAATCGGAAGCCAGTGGAGGGATTGGCAGAGGGGGGTGGCGGAAACGGAGTGGTTGGAAAGGTGAATGAGTCTGGCAGCCGTATTCAGGATCGACTGAGCCGGCGGGGGGATAGCCAGCGGCGAGGCAGGCCAGTGAGGAGGGAGTTGCAGTAGTCGAGTCGTGATATGAGGGAGTGGATGAGCTGTTTAGTGGTTTCTGGGGTTAGGAACGCGCGTATTTTGGCGATGTTGCGGAGGTGGAGTCTGCACGAGTTTGTTAAAGATTGGACTTGGGGCTGGAAGGATAGGTTGGAGTCCAGAATGACACCAAGTACTCTGGCCTGCGGGGCGGGTTTGATGGTAGCGTTGTTGGATGTGATGGAGAAGTCAATGGGGGGGGGTGTCCGGGCTGGGGGGAAGACAAGAAACTCGGTTTTGGAGAGGTTCAGTTTAAGGAAGTGGAGCGACATCCAGTCTGATATGTCGCTCAGTAGGTGTGTGATTCGGGCAGAGACTGAGGGGGTGAGGGGGGGGGTTGAGAGATAGATTTGTGTGTCGTCGGCATAGAGGTGGTAGTTGAAGCCGTGAGAGTGTATGAGTTGGCCAAGGAAGGAGGTGTAGATGGAGAAGAGAAGGGGCCCAAGGACAGAGCCTTGAGGGACCCCAACAGAGAGGGGGAGGTGGTAGCATTATAGGTAACGCTGAAGGAGCGTTGTGACAGGTAGGATGAGAACCAGGAGAGAGCAGAATCTCTGAGGCCGAGGGAGTGTAGTTTTTTGAGGAGGAGGGGGTGGTCGACTGTGTCGAAGGCCGCAGAGAGGTCAAGGAGTAGGAGCACTGAATAGTGGCCATTAGCTTTGGCGGTTAGAAGGTCGTTGGAGAGTTTGAGTAAGGCGGTTTCGGTGGAGTGTAGGGGATGGAAGCCAGACTGTAGGGGATCGAGGAGGTGGTTGTCGTTGAGGTGAGAGCATAGGCGGGTGTAGACGAGGCGCTCGAGGAGTTTAGATGTAAATGGAGCAGGGAGATGGGTCTGAGGTTGTTCGGGTCATTGGGATCCAGGGAGGGCTTTTTAAGTATGGGGGTGATGTGTGCATGTTTCAGAGGAGAGGGGAAAGTGCCTGAGGAGAGGGAGAGATTGAAGATGTGGGTGAGGGAGCGTAGGATGGAGGGGGAGGGAGGTCGTAGGAGTTGTGAGGGGATAGGGTCGAGGGGGCAGGTGGTGAGGCGGGCATCAGAGAGGATCTTGGAGACTTCCTCAATGGTAGTAAGGTCAAAGGTGCGGAGTGTTGGGGGAGCTTCAGTATGAGGAATGTAGGGTGGGGTGGAAGTGGAGAGGTCAGAGCAGTGGTGGGGCTGTGGGAGAGGGGTGATGAGGGGGTAGCTGAGTGAGGGGGAACGGGGTTGGAGGGAGTTTGAGCAGCGACGAAGTCCCTGCGGGTTATGTCGAGGGGGAGGGGGGATGAGGGGGTAGCTGTGTGAGAGGGGACGGGTTGAGAGGGCGTGTGAGTTGCAGCAATGTCCTTGCGAATTGTGTCAATCTTGTTTTTGAAGTGATTGGCAGTCTCAAGGGCGGTGAGTGAGGTGCTGGGTGGAGGTGGGGGTTGCGAGAGTAGAGAGTTGAAGGTGGAGAAGAGTCGGCGAGGATTGGAGGAGAGGGCCTTGATGAGGGTCAGGAAGTAGGCTTGTTTGGCTGTGTGGAGGGAGGAGGTGTAGGTGTGGAAGGCAGATTTGTAGCGGGTGAAGGCTTGTTGGGATTTTGTTTTGCGCCATAGTCGCTCCAGGGCACGACTGTGTCGTTTGAGGGTTTTGGTGTGATCAGACATATGATTTTAAGTGTTTCTATCTTACATGGGTATTTTATATATTTTAGATGTATTCTTTATTAAAGCTTTATATTGTAATACTATGTATAATATTATATGTACCATGAATAGATATTCATCTTGACATACGTTTTTATAGATATTGTTGGACATGATTTTTTTATCGTATTTATTTTGCTTTATAGCAATGTTCGTGCCACTGTCATCACCAGACTAATGAAAAGTGCATTTCACCATACCTCCACATCAAGATGTGGAGTTATTGGTTGTATAAACCTTTACATTTTAGTTATATAATTCCGCACATGCGCAGTGATTGGCTTGTGACGGTATTTATTAAATTCAACTTGAACTTGCGGGTTTTTCGGTCCCGATATAGTTTATTTGAACATAGTGCACTTTCTCTTGTGTTTTTTTCATATTACAATCTATCTTCCCTGGTGATTTAGTGACACTTACTTATGTTCGAATAAATGGCGCTCGCGCATGCGAGATTAGACCGATCTTCAACAAAAATGGCGCCTGATACGGAGACATATCTCTTAGGTAAAATGGCGCACTCGTAATGCACATGCGCCATTTACGGTATTTTAGGACGCTACTGTAGACAGACGCTGAATCTTATCCCCTTTGATGATGTGCGATTAGCACGAAACGCGTCAGGACCTCTGGCCGCCGGGCCTGATACGGAGACATATCTCTCAGGTAAAATGGCGCACTCGTAATGCGCATGCGCCATTTACGGTATTTTAGGACGCTACTGTAGACAGACGCTGAAGCTTATCCCCTTTGATGATGTGCGATTAGCACGAAACGCGTCAGAAGGAGCTACAGCGTCACGACCTCTTGACGCCGGCACCACGGAGGTCTCGGCGGTCATCTTTTTACCTACCTCATGGTCAGTGTCATTTTAATTCCTTTACCTCATGTCATACTGCATTGAATAAAATTCATTCCTCAAAACGGTATCACGCTATTGGTCTCCTTTTCTTTTGGCCCTTGGTGAGTCACTCATCATCACCCATACAGCCATTTAAAGGGGAGACTGAGGATTATCAGCAGCACTCAGCACTCAGGGGGAGGAATATCTAACCACACCTGATCCAAATCCTTAGGAGCCATCAGTGGATCCAGTAGAGAGATTTGTCTCTAAATGGCAGTTACACTGTGCATCTGGTGAGTGCACAGCCTTTACTCTTCTCACTATCACAGCGTGGAAGAAGCACTCTAAAGGAGAGGGATTGTCACTAAGACTATCAGCTTTGCACTGCATATCACTCTGTTTGTGACGAAATATTTGTGATCACACAAGTCACCTGATTTACAGTTGCAAGAAAAAGTATGTGAACCCCTTGGGATTACGTGGAGTTTTGCATGAATTGGGCATAAAATGTGCTCTGAACGTCATCTAAGTCACAACAATAGAAGAACACAGTTTGCTGAACATAATACTACACAAACATTAGATGTTGCCATGGTTTAATTGCACATAACATGTAAACATTCACAGTGCAGGGAGGAAAAAGTATGTGAACCTTTTCACTGCATATCACTCTGTTTGTGACAAAATATTTGTGATCACACAAGTCACCTTATTTATATTCACCATATCAGTATCTTGGACGTTTTGTATATATTAATATCTGTGATATAGCGCCGCATCTTTTATACTCTATATCAGGATCTGCAAACTTTCTAAACAAAGGGACAGTTTACTGTTTTCAGACTTGACGGGAGGCAGGACTGTGTCCAGTAGGAATAGAAAATGACCCAGTGTCAGTGGAAGGAATAGTTCCCCATCATTGTTGTCAGTAAGGAATAGCGCCCCATTATTTGTATTCGTGATAGGGGTTGTGCCAAATCATTGGTGTCACTGGAAAGATTGTCTTAAGGGAAATATAAAAGTGGAGGGGGATGGGAGATTATTTGGGGGGAATGGAATATGTATGTCTTTATTTTATATAAGATTCAAATAGGAAGAAAAATGATAAATGATATTTGTAATAAATGTCTGGAATGACCTCACATCTCTTCCTAATGTCCCTCTTTATTATAATGAAGACCTGACCAGAGAGGTGAGGAGGATTCTGGGAATGTTATTTGATGTGACTATTTGTGTTCAGATGTAGAGTTTTCCTCCTGTGAAGTCTGGAGATCATATGACATCACATTGCCTCCACCTCCCTCCCTGATAGAAGAGAGAAAGAAGAAGAAGATTCTAGAAGTCACCAGAGAGATCACTGAGCTGCTGACAGGAGAGGTGAGCGGTGCCGGGAATTCTGGGACATTCTCCAGTAACAGACAAGGGATGTGTCTGGATGGTGACTGTATCATTGTGTGTGTCAGGTTCCTATAAGGTGTCAGGGTGTCACTGTCTATTTCTCCATGGAGGAGTGGGAGTATTTAGAAGGACACAAGGATCTCTACAAGGACGTCATGATGGACAATCAGCCGCCCCTCACATCACCGGGTAAGAGGAGACTTTATTGTAAAGGAGAGAGCAGTACGGAGGATCCACCTAGATCCCCCATCATCTGATAAACACATAGAAACAATGGATTCAGTCAGTGTGTGTGTTTCCTACAGATGGATCCAGTCATGGGAACCCACCAGAGAGATGTCCCCGTCCTCTGTATTCCCGGGATTCCACACAGGAAGGTCACACCAACCCTCACCATCATCAGGTAGATGGATCCAGTAATGGGAACCCACCAGAGAGATGTCCCCGTCCTCTGTATTCCCGGGATTCCACACAGGAAGGTCACATCATCCCTCACCATCATCAGGTAGATGAGGAACAATCACTGATAGTATCATTAGGATCTGTACATTATCTGCATTGTTACCATTGATGTCATTTTTATTCTATATTCAGAGTGGAAACCTGAGAGATTCTAAAGTTGAGTTTAAAGAAGAGATAAAAGAGGAGGAGGATGAGGATGGGGGGATGGAGGAGTCAGAGCTTCTAAAAGAACACAAAGATCTGTACCAGGACACCATGGTGGAGTCATCCAGCTACAGAAACCCACCAGAGAGATGTCCCCATCCTCTGTATTCCCGGGATCCAATACAGGAAGATCACAACTACGCACAACATGATCAGGTTGTTAACCGATTATTCAGTTATTGGTAGTTATTATTTATACACACTATTTGTTTGTTACAATGAATGTATTATTATATATTTAGAATGGAACCATCATGGATATTAATATTGGTGTTAAAGAAGAGTATACAGAGGAGGATGAGGAGTATGGAGTGATGAATGCATTTTCAGAAGGACACAAGGATATGATGGAGCCACCTAATACCAGGAACCCACCAGAGAGATGTCCCCGTCCTCTGTATTCCCGGGATTCCACACAGGAAGGTCACACCATCCCTCACCATGATTGGGTAGATGAGGAACAATCATTGGCAGTTATGATTTATACACAGAATGTTTGTTACAGTGAATGTTATATTATATGTTTCAGAGTGGAAACCTTGGCGATTATAATGTTGTTGTAAAGGAAGAATATAAGGAGGAGGACAGTGTGATGGAGGAGCTTTCAGAAGGACACAAGGATATGATGGAGCCACCTAATCCCAGGAACCCACCAGAGAGATATCCCCGTCCTCTGTATTCCTGGAATTCCACAAAGGAAGGTCACACCATCCCTCACCATGGCAAGGTTGGTGGGACAGAACATCTGGAACATGGACTTATGGAAGCGATGTGTGGATTTATTGAGATGCTGCAATATTAAAGCCTATATTTTACAGATTATCTTTTCTCTCATTCTCTTGGTTTAGGGTGAAGATCTGATAGATATAAAAATTGAGATTAAAGCAGAAGAAGAGGCGTATGTGAGGGATGATCAGCAGTCTGTGGAGGAGGATGGAATAACGGGGACATTTAAAGAGGAGGACACTCCTACAGAGATCAGCACAGGTGGGTCATGAACACTAAATCCATTCCTCCACCCATACTGCTCACTGATTGGTCCAGAGTAGGGCGGGGACTGGGTGATATCAGCCTGTAATCCCCTGGTCACTTTCCTGAGCTGTGTTCCCCGTCCTGTATTCCTGGATTTCTCTCGGATAATCTTCCTTCTCTGTGCTGCAGACACAATTTATGTATCTAGACTGGATTTAGGTTCAGCTGGAAGCAAAATGTGTTTTTTCTCCATAGGCATTGCTCGATCTATGCACCTGGGGCATGTGACTTCGGTCTTTTGTCCCATGCCTGGGTCTAGCAAGATTTCTGTCCAAAAAATTCTCCTATCGTTACGTGCTGTTTTTTTCTGGCTGTTCTGGGTGCCCCATGACCAGGTCCAGCAAGATCTTTGACAGAGCATCTCTCTGGCAAGCACCAGCGTAGTACATCCTGGCCTTTTAGGCACCAACACTGCGGTATTTCATGGCGGAGTGGTGAGCAGCAGCAGTGCAGTACAAGTTGGTAAGGTGGCTAGTACTAGTAGTGTAATGCAACCGCAGCCACCAAGATCATGAGCAAAGGCCCGTAGAGCCCATAGTAGCCTTCCAGAGGTGCTTATCAACCCTAATTGGCTGCCTCCAGATTTAGCAGCACCTATTATTCTCACTTTTACAGCCCAGACTGGGGTTCAGGTGGAAACAGCAAACTTAACAATGCCCCTTGTATTTTTTTAGCTGTTTTTCACTGAAGAACTCTATTATTGATTGTGGACTAAAGTAATGTTTATGCCTGAAAATACAATGCCACCCACTCAAATTCAAACCTTGCCAGGCCATTCCAGTGGAAATGTATCATGGATTCAGAATTTAAAAGGTTTTTGGGCCTAAACCTTACCATGGGCATTACAAAAAAAAAGAAAGAATTGTAGTCATCTTGGTCCACAGACCCGATTCATCATATGCCCATGTTCCCAGCTACAATGGCTAAGAGATGATATGGGAATATAATGCGTTTTATACATTACAATGGCAATACCCTCTATCGTACTTGGGGTGACATTGATTATGATCAGCTCCACAAAATTCGGCCCCTCATCAATTATCTGTCCAAGAAATGTTTTGCTGTATATACTCCCCAAAAAACATCTGTATAGATGAGTCCCTCATATATTTTACTGGCAGGCTTGAAATCAAGCAATATCTCCTCAGCAAGCATGCCAGATATGGGGTTAAATTGTATAAACTATGTGAGAGGGCAACAGGCTATACATATCAATTTAGAATTTATGCCCTGACTACATGGGGAGCAGTGGTAAGATAGTGTGGGACTTGGTGTCACCCTTGTTTCGTAAGGGGTACCTTTTGCATGTGGAAAACTTTTATGCAAGCATGCCATTTTTTAGACATTTGTTCATTCAAGAAATTGGCTGCTGTGGCACCATGTGACCTAATCGCAGGGGCTTCCCCCAATGGCTCATTAACACTCCACTTAGGTGGAAAAAGCCTGCTTGTGCAATGATAAACTGGAAGGACAAATGGGATGTATTCATCCTATCTTCCATTCAGCCAGACATGGCAGTCCAAAATTAACATGACATGCGGAGTCATTGAAAATTGAAAAGCCTGTCTGCATGCACGACTATAATTTAAATATGGGAGATGTAGACTTAAACAACCAAATGATGAAGCTGGATTTATGTCCTGCAGAGCTAGCCACTGGTTCAAAGATGTGTCTATAGATTTGATTCTTTTGGCTCTATATAATGCTTTTGTTATTTACAAAGCAACTGGACCTGGATCCTTCCAAAAATTTATGGAAGAGATCATCTCAGCCATTTTGTATTCAGAAATCCAGATGCAGTTATCTGGCTGCATGAGAGGCATTTTCCAGATGTCCTCCCTGGTACCCCAACACAAAGGTCACCTTAAAAAAAGATGTGCCTGTGGGAAACGCGGAATAAGACATGACACCCAGGTTTTATGCCCCACCTGTCCTGGCCAACCTGGCTTCTGCCTCAAGAACTGCTTCCATCGATATCACACATTAGTGTACTTTTAATCTAGGGTACAGCACAGGGGGTCCACACAATTCTGCACGAGAAAGGTCTCTAAAGGATGTTAGTCAAGAAACTGTCACATTTGTTCAAGTTGTTTTTTTTTATTGAGATAATGTTATATTGTTTGTTCTGTTATTATACTGTTTGTTATTGTTAACTGTTGTTGTTTGCTTTGCAGGAGCCCCAATCAGCTGCAGCACTGATCTGTGTATTCAGCAGCACTGCGGGGGGAGATTTCTCCAACCGCAGTTAAAATAAAAAAATTAGTATGTATGTCCAACATTAGGAGCTTGGGGTGGTCAGCCGGCAGTAGCTACTATGCTCGGCATATACTTTTTTCACTGGCAAAGATTTCTTCATCCACATCACACTAGGTGTAGTTGGTCCAGGGAATATCTGATTACCTTCTGGGGGACAAGGAAAGGATCCCCCCCTCAAAGGAGCAAATAGATCCTTGTATTATTTATTTTTTTTTTTTTTTAGCCTTCCTCTGAATCAACTATGGGTATCGGATTGTGCATATGGGGGTTTTCAGTATCTTTTTCATGTTGATTGAACCAGATGGACAAGTGTCTTTTTTTTCAATCTCACTAGCTATGTAACATCGATCAATGTGAATGAATAAATCTATTAGGTTCATTTTTTTCATATGCCCAGCATTAGGAGAGTGGGGTGGTCAGCAGGTATTCGCTCCTACTTTCCATTTTTTTGCAGCGGAGATTTCTTCAACCACATTGATCGATGTGAATGGAGGAATCTGGTAAGTTCTTTTTTTCATTTAGCCCACAGGCTGAACAAAAAAAAAAAAGGAAAATTACATGTATGTCCAACATTAAGAGTGTGTCAGAAACTCCTAATGCTGGTCACACACATAATGATTTAGAGGCCCTAAAATACCAGGGCAGTTCAAATACCCCTTTTTGGATAGTAGACACCTCAAGGTATTTGCTGAGATGCATGTTGAGTCCATGGAAGATTTTTTTTTTTGCTACAAGTTTTTGGAAAATGATAAAAAATGTTTCCCCCCCCCCCCCCCAAAGTTGTCACTTTACTGAGATATTTCTCACATACGTCATGAGTATACATGGCATTACAACCCAAAAACAAATTCTGCTACTTCCCCTGGGTATGGGGATACCACGAGTGAAATCTCTTGGGAGCCTAGCCACATGCAGAGGCCCAAACTCCAATGAGCACTTTCAGGATTTCAAAGGGTGTAACTTGAGCATTTGATTTCTTGACTACCTATCACAGTTTTGAAAGCCCTAAAATGCCAGGATAGTACAAACTCTCTCCCCAAATTACCCTTTTTGGAAAGCAGATACCCCATTTCTAGGATGCATGGCGAGTATTTTTCAGATCTCATTTCTTGTCAGTGGAGCGATCCTCCATAAAGCAAATAACACAGGATCACTCTTACATCGGCATGTTCAGCGCTTTAATCATTCCCTGGCTCCCTGCTGTCCAGAGATCAGCAGTCATTGGAGGAGTTAGGGGGCGGGGTAGTCAAACTGTGTACAACCCGATCCAAGAGCGATCCTGTGTCATCTGCTGTATGGAGGATCGCTCCACTGATGGGAGTGACAGCACAACCTGCACCTTCACCTGGTTTCCTGCCTGTAAGTTCAGGGGAGGGGAGGGCTGAGCTTACAGGCCAGGGGAACTGTACACAATGAAAGGGGGGTAACAATCATTTGTGCTGAGATGAGAGGTTTGTGCAGGAGGAGAGGTGGGGCTATTTGTGCTGGGAGGGGTAATGGGAATGATGAGGGGGGAATTTGTGCTAAGAGAAGGAATGGGTGGCTATGTACTATTAGTAGGAGGGAGGCTTGAGGTTATTTGTGCTAAAAGGGGGGAGAGATTTTATGCTGGGAAGGGTAATTTGGAGGGGTTTTAGCTAGAGTGGGGATTTAGAGGAATTTGTCCTAGGTGGGGGAATTGAAGGAAGAGGATTTGTGCTAGGAGGGGGGATAAGAGGGAATTTGTGCAAGAAGAGAGGATTGGGGGGATTTTCGCTAGGAGAGGGGATTGGGGGGATTTGTGTTAGGAGGGGGAATTGGGGAAAATTTGTACTAGGAGGGGGGGATTGGGGAGAATTTGTGCTAAGAGAGGGGATTGGGAGGGGGGTTGTGTTAGGATTGGGCAAGGAGAATTGTGTTAGGAGAGGGGATTGGGGGAGATTTGTGTTATAAGGGTGATTTGGGGGGGGGAATTTGTACTAGGAGGGGGGGTTGGGGAGAATTTGTTCAAGGATAGGGGGAGGGGGACGAATTTGTGCTAGGAGGGGGATTGGGGAGAATTTGTCCTAGGATTGGGGGAGGGGGGCAAATTTGTGCTAGGAGGGGGGATTTGGATGGGGAGAAGAAAGGGTTGTTGCTGGGTAGGGTAATTTGGAGGGGGTTGTGCTAGGAGGGATTTAGGGGGATTTATTCTAGGATGGGGGATTGAGGGGATATATGTTATCAGGGGGATTTAGGGGAAAGGATTTTGTGTAAGGGTGGAACATTTGAGAGGAAAGAGGATGTGTTCTAGGAGGGGTAAAGTAGAACTACAGGTGACGTTTTATTTTATTTTTTTGGGGGGTACAAGTAGCTGGTCTTGCCTAGGGTGCAAAATAGCCTAGCACCGGCCCTGCCGTTAGGAGGCTAAGCTACCACTGATTACTGAACACCAATATTGTGAGTCCTGACCATTACACTGTAAAATGTGTATTGCACGCTATATAATCCTGACCCCTGCACTATATACTCTATATTGTACATAACTACATAATATTGTACATTAACTAATTCTAAAACTATATAGTCCTACCTGCTGTATCTTATACAATATGTTGTACATTCCATAGTCCTGACTTCTGCTCTCCCCCCCCCCCCCACTGCTAAATATACACATAATATGGATTCTCTTCTATTACTCCCATTTCCTACCAGCTGGACATTTTATATCGGATGCAGTGATTGGAGCACAGACACTTAAATGTTGATAACAATGTGATAACGTCTTCAAACTTTGGTACTTTAAAGTGATAATGAGGGAGGAGCCAATACCCCAATGATGGTGGTTTTTAGGATCAGTCCAGTCTTCATCTTGGTTGCTCTCCCCCCATCCTCACTCTCTGACCTCTGGTGGGGCTCAGCCCCGCTGTTCTTCATGACTAAATCATGGACTAAATAAGGAAGTGCAGTACTTCTTGTGTTGGGAAGATGGCGATGAGTGATAGAGGGGGTGGGGACCCTCGTCCTATAATCCCCTCATCACTGTCCCTCCTATAAAAGACAGTTCTGGTTGTTTCCTCACTCTCTGACTAAGGTCCATGAATAAAGAAATGACCTGGTAGGAGATCAGAGGAGCCATTTCCTAGTTCCCTTGAGGGTGGAATTGTAAGCTCCTCAGAGACCAAGCTGCCTGATGTGGGCGGAGTCCTGGTTTGGGGGAACCAATCAGCTCCTGTCTAGTAATCCTCTTTGTCTTTGTATTTTAGTCCATGGCCGGGAGATGAGGAAAACCTCCGAGGATTGTCTCACTTTGTCTCCAGACTGGAAAGTAGAAGATGAGGACATCACACAGTATAGTCCAGGAGAAAACCCGGCTCCCTCCAATGTCCATCCGGCACCACCCAGTGTAGATGGATCATCATATTCCTTGTATCCTGAGGAACCTCAGACTGTGTGGGACTGGGCCGGCCTTCTAACAGGGAAGAGCTTCTCCTGTCCTGAGTGCGGGAAGGGGTTCCATTTTAAATCCGGACTTAATGTGCATAGAAGATGTCACACGGGGGAGAAGCCACATTTCTGCCCTGAGTGTGGGAAATGTTATTCAAAGTCATCCTATCTTTACAGACAGACTGTGCGGGAACGGGCCGGCCTTCCAACAGGGAAAAGCTTCTCCTGTACCGAGTGTGGGAAATGTTTCCATTTTAAATCCAATCTTAATATGCATAAAAGAACTCACACAGATGAGAAGGCACATACCTGCCCTGAGTGTGGAAAATATTTTTCAAAGAAGTCTCATCTTTTCACACATCAGAGAACTCACACAGGGGAGAATCTGCATTCCTGTCTTGAGTGCGGGAAATGTTTTTCAAAGAAATCCCATCTTTACAGACATCAGAGATCACACACGGTGGAAAGACCATATTTCTGTTCTGAGTGCGGGAAATGCTTTGTACAAAAATCCAAACTTACCGTACATCAAAGGACTCACACAGGTGAAAAGCCATTTTCCTGTACTGAGTGCGGGAAATGTTTTGCACAGAAGTGCAGTCTTTCTACACACCAGAGATTGCACACACGTGAGAAGCTGTATTCCTGTTCTGAGTGTGGGAAATGTTTTTCTGGGAAGTCCTATCTTTCCATACATCAGAGATCTCACACGGGGGAAAAGCCGTATTCCTGTTCTGAGTGCGGGAAATGTTTTTCACGGACATCCAGTCTTTACAGGCATGAAAGATTGCACCCAGAAAGCTACTTTCCTTTTCTTAGTGAAGTAACTGTTACTGAAGTCCTGTCTTCCTGTACATCAGGGGTCCCACACAACCCTCAAGATGTATTGGTGCCTTGAGTGCGGGAAATGTCTTCTAGATGAATGTTGCTGGACATCCCAGCTCTCATGTGGGGAAGAAGCACACCCTGATATACACCTCAGATATACTCCATGGCTGATCTTCATCATGGAAGAAACAGTTCATAAGGAGATCAGAGGTCCCCAAAGACATGGATGAAGTGTGGGACCGGGTTGGCCATTGATAGCAGGAGAAGAAAAAAATGGAGTCATCACCTTTCATTGGCTGAGTACATTTTGTTGTGGGACATTTCACAAACACTTAGAGGCCTGTTTCTGAAAAAAATTCTTTGGATAAATGTGACATATATTTGTCCAGCAGTGATAAATTCTGGCTGTATTTTATTTAACATAGTGATTTCCTATAATCACCAGCTCCATCTAATGGCCATAATTTGGTATTTCGCTATGTTTCTGACTGAGGTATTCTGAGTAAAACATCCTCTTATGACCACAAGATTTAGCTGACGATCCAAGGAGTGAATAAGTTGTTTTTTAGGGTCGCTAAGAAAGGGTATAATCTGGAAATGTTAAGGAGGGTTAGGCAGCAAGATTTAGCCAGTGATTGGATGTGGAACCTGAAGGAGAGGTCCGAGTCTAGGATTAAACCTAGCACACTGGCATGTGCAGAGGGACCTATGATTGTGGTGTTCTGCTGATCTCAATAAGGGTAGGATTTGGGAGGAGGAAAATATTACAAGCTCAGCTTTAGAAAGATTGAGTTTGAGCATTTAATGTGACATCCATACTGATATGTCGCTCATTAAATTTTTGATACATCAGGGGGCGAGCTGAGGAGAGATCGATCTGGATGTCTTCGGCATAGAGGTGGTATTGGAAGCCATGAAAGGTTGACCCAGGGAAGAAGAAGTGTAGATAGAGAATAGGAGAAGGCCCAAGGACAGAGCCTTAGAGTATCTCAACAAAATGAGGAAAAACAGAATAGAGGGCCCGGGGTCAGTAGGGGGCCCCATGAGATGCCCCTGGTACCTTTTGTAGTTGTAGGTGATGTAGCAATCGTACCCACAGAGATAAACGCGGTTCAACCGTTTTGCTCCAACCCTCCATCTTGTAGATCTCTCTCCCCCTGTTTGCTCATCCCCTCCCTCGCTGTGGGGTGACATGTGGCCTGAGTGATGGCAGAGGTCACAGGCAGCCAAAGCACAGCAGTGAGCTCTGAGCTATAAAACCCCCAAGGGAGCTTTCGTAAACCCCAAGGGATTTCGTAAAAGCGTAAACCAAGCCCTTCACTGAGTTCAAAGACATTCCAGAGAAGTAATAAACTAGACACCACCAGGGGCGGACTGACCATTTGGAGGGCCCGGGGTCAGTAGGGGGCCCCATGAGATGCCCCTGGTACCTTTTTCAGAGGACTTTTTTGAGTTTGAGCAAGGACACAGGGGCCCCATGATCCCCTATTGCCCGGGGGCCCCATGAGTTGTCAATCCGCCCCTGGACACCACATTCAAAATCCATTTTCCCCCTATGATTTCATACCTTGGAATATGAGGGACTTACACAAAAAACAGGCATATCTTCAGATTGGTCACGTTAAGACAAATCGTTTGGTATATTACATTCCTGTGATACATATGTGACATGAGTGTATAGGATGTATGGATGAGAAGTGATTGACACCCAACTGTCATAATGCTAACGATTATAACCATTGGATGGGTAACTGGAGTTCAAAAAAACATGTTGGAAGTGTACATTAAACCAGTTAAAACCAGTTGAAACCAGAGATGTGGCTGATATTCACCAGATGTGCATTCCATCAAAATAGGTAACTACGCGTGATGGCACAGCCGATCACGCGTTGACTCTAACTACTCTGCAGAATCATACATGACGTTATATAACCAGGATATACTGCGCATGGCAGTAGATAAGGACATTCCAAACTATGTATATAAAAGACGGGGGATTCTAGGGGAATTTGGGACTCATTGAAGATGCGGCAAACGTGCCTTGCGGTGATTTCTCGGATTCCCCTTTGCTGACTGTTGGAGTCCCCCAGTCACTGGGCAGTGGGTGATGCTACAATATCCCGTGATGTATTGATGCTTTATTCTTGCTATAATATGATCTAAATATGATTTACAATTCTTATGTTATTATACTAACAGAACTTATTCAATAAATCATGTTTTGCTTTAATATTTATTAAGCCTAATCCGTGTATTAGTGAGCGATTTGTAGTAGTGTTAAAAACACTTTGTTTTGAGGCAAAACAATTCCCTAGCTGAGATCAACAGGAGAGCAGAAAATAAAATCTCCTTAATCATCCCAGCAGGTATGTTATATTTCATATGTAGATCTTCAGCAGAGGACTCTGCATTAATCTTCCCGTGGGTGGAATGTTACATGTACCTAGGAAAAGTTATGGGCCAAAATATAAGCTATGAGAGTATCTGGTTATAACTTAGGTCTCCACCCAACATCCCTCCCCAAATAAGGCAATTGGTTCTCTTTTGTAAGGAGACACCCTGCTGAGATCCTAGAAAAAGGCTGTTATGCTTGGAGTGTGTGTGAGAGAAAGAAGAGTCTCCCGTTTAACATCGAAACTGACAGTGCGAGACAAGAAATCCTTTTTGAGCTCATAAGACTTGAAACTGCTTAAACCAAGGCTGACTGGCAAGTACTTTAACCCTTTAAACTCCTTTCTGTTATCTCTTTGCTGTGCTGTTGTTCTCTGTATATTTATATATTTCTATTGGTTACATCTGTTTCTGTAAATATTTTTAGCGCACCCTTTTAACCTTTTAGTAATAAATCTTACTTTTCTGAAAGTGTTGAATTGTTTCTAACGCCTTTAATGCAAACTACGAATTCATGCCGCTAAAGAGCACTACTGTGTGTGTTTAACCCTCTGTATAGCCTGTCTGTGGTGATAGTGGTATACAGACGATTATTTCAACCATCATAGTGTTATTACTGATATTGCCGAGTTTCCTCTTTCTCCGTACTAAAAGGAGGGTGGTGGCAGTGTAAAGGGTTAATTGCGTAATTAACCTGACCTAGTAACAATCGCTTCCAGGCTGCCGGTACACAGACTGTGGTCCATTAGCTGGAAAATCTGTATGCAGGGTGCAGCTGGGCGTGGCATTGTTACACACGTGACATCGTAGTTTTAGATTGGCTAGTCCTTCGGTCACGGGTTTGGTGAGAAGGGCAGGGGTCTGATGCCGCGATCGTCACAGGTGACACTGAAGTAGTGTAGTGCCATAGGGGGTCAAGAAGGTTGTTATCACTGAAGTAGCAACTCACACGGTTGTGGTCAAGGCATTCAAGAAGCTTGGAGGCAAATGGGAGCAGAGAAATGGGCTTTAAGTTGTTCAAACAGGTGGACTTCAGTGAGGGGTTTTTAAGTATAGGGATAACCAGTTCATATTTGAGCAGGGAGGGAAAGGTGGAGAGGGAGAGATTGGGGTCCAGGGCACAAGTGGGGAGGAGGGCCTCAGAAAGGTGTTTGAACACTTCCTTGGTGGTAAAAGAGTTCAAGAAGGAAAGTATTGGGTTCATATTTGAGCAGGGAGGAAAGGTGGAGAGGGAGAGATTGGGGTCCAGGGCACAAGTGGGGAGGAGGGCCTCAGAAAGGTGTTTGAACACTTCCTTGGTGGTAAAAGAGTTCAAGAAGGAAAGTATTGGGTTCAAATTTGAGCAGGGAGGGAAAGGTGGTGGTGGAGAGATTGGAGATGTGGGTTAGAGACTGTAGGATAAAGCAGCAAGGTGGCTGTGGTAGTTGTGATGGGACGGGGTCAAGAAGGTTGTTATCACTGAAGTAGCAACTCATACGGTTGTGGTCAAGGCATTCAAGAAGCTTGGAGGTAAACAGGAGCAGAGAGATGGGCCTTAAGTCATTCAAACAGGTGGAGTTCAGTGAGGGTTTTCTATGTATGGGGATAACCAGTTCATATTTGAGCAGGGAGGGAAAGTTGGAGGTGGAGAGGGAGAGATTGGGGTCCAGGGCACAAGTGGGGAGGAGGGCCTCAGAAAGGTGTTTGGACACTTCCTTGGTGGTAAAAGAGTTCAAGAAGGAAAGTATTGGGTTCATATTTGAGCAGGGAGGGAAAGGTGGCGGTGGAGAGGGAGAGATTGGAGATGTGGGTTAGAGAGTGTAGGATAAAGCAGCAAGGTGGCTGTGGTAGTTGTGATGGGACGGGGTCAAGAAGGTTGTTATCACTGAAGTAGCAACTCATACGGTTGTGGTCAAGGCATTCAAGAGCTTGGAGGTAAACGGGAGCAGAGAGATGGGCCTTAAGTCATTCAAACAGGTGGAGTTCAGTGAGGGTTTTTCTATGTATGGAGATAACCAGTTCATATTTGAGCAGGGAGGGAAAGTTGGAGGTGGAGAGGGAGAGATTGGGGTCCAGGGCACAAGTGGGGAGGAGGGCCTCAGAAAGGTGTTTGAACACTTCCTTGGTGGTAAAAGAGTTCACGAAGGAAAGTATTGGGTGTGGTGTTACACCTGGTATGTTGGTTGGAAAACAAAGCTGGACACCAGAGATCTCACCATAAATTGTACTAATCTTGTTTTTGAAATGACTGACAATCTCCTGGGCAGTTAGTAAGTTGGTGGGTGGAGGCAGCGAGGGGTGAAGTAAGTAAGGAATTAAGGGTAGAAAATCACTTCTTGGCCTTTTGGCTAAGATCCAGTGTAGTATCTGTTCTTATCAGTGTCTAGTAGGGGCGTTCCGATGTCGTTTTTGCCTTTTGGTGAGAATGGCTGGCTGTATAGTACCCCTGTTGGTATGATGGGGGCTCTGAAAGCTAGTTAGAACAGAAACCAAGGCACCCACAGGCTGTTGAGGATTGGGAGTAATTCCCCCGAGAAAATTGGAGAAGCCCAGTTTCCTCCTGTTCTGAATGGATCTACTTTGCTTTGCCAGGGGCCGAGGAGGCAGAATCTGCGGAGCTGTAGTCCCTGGGAGTGGTCGCCCCAGGGGTGCTCTGAGTAACACATGAGGGTGGGATCCCACGTGTGAAAAGTGCACATGGCCACAGTTCCAATCACTTC